CAGAAGCCCAGCTTCAAAAAGACATATGCATGCCTATGTTTATTGCAGCACTATTTACAATAGCCAAGAAATGGAAGCAATCTAAGTGTCCATCAGTAGATGAATGGATAAAGAAGATGTGGTACATATACACAATGGAATATTATTCAGCCATAAGAAGAAAACAAATGCTACCATTTGCAACAACATGGATGGAGCTAGAGGGTATTATGCTTAGTGAAATAAGTCAGGCAGAGAAAGACAAGTATCAAATGATTTCACTCATCTGTGGAGTCTAAGAACAAAGCAAAAACTGAAGGAACAAAACAGCAGCAAACTCACAGAACCCAAGAATGGACTAACAGTTATACCAAAGGGAAGTGGCCTGGGGAGGATGGGTGGGAAGGGAGGGATAAGGGGGAAAAAGGGGCATTACAATTAGCACACATAATATTGGGTGGGGGGCGCATGGGGAATGCAGTATAACACAGAGAAGACAAGTAGTGATTCTATTTACTACGCTGATGGACAATGACTGTAATGGGGTATGGGCTTGGGGACTTGATAATGGGGGGAGTCTAGTAACCATATGTTGCTCATGTAATTGTACATTAATGATACCAAAATTTTAAATAATGTTACAGAGGAAAAAAAGATCTGGGTAAAACTACAAATAACAGAAAGTGTACAGAGCAAAAGGTAAGCCCAACTCACAAATTCACAAACATTTCTCAATTTGCTTCACTTAAGGCTTTCAATTCCATTTCCTCAATTCTTCAATGTCTGCTCTCTTCCCTTGAACTATACTCTCATGGAGATCTTATCTTCTTGATGTATAACTTCTATGCAAATAAGTTCAAAATAGTATCAATAGACCTGACCATCTGTAATTCAGGCCTTTTAAATGCACGTTTAATAATGCTTCTTTGAATGCCTCCTCAAATGCACCAAATACCACACAGAAAATTAAGTTCGATACAGACTTATTTCTAGCTCTCTGCTCATGGCAACATCAACTGATTTATTAAATTAATACATGTGTGTTTTAAGTTGTTACACAAATCTATTATTGTCACCATTATCCCACCTTACTCTATTCTTAGAATTATATCAATCTTTTTCTTCTGCCATCAGATAACAAGTCATCCTGAGTCATCCTCAGGATAACAATTCTGTGTCTCATTCTTTCCCTGATTATCATAATCACCACTCCCAAAATTAATCTCAACTCATCTCCCCCTGCGTCTATCATTTCCCTTGCTCAAACCATTGTGTACACTACTGCCAGTAACATTCTTATATCATGTTACTTCCCTGTCCGCATATTTTCAAAGGTAATCTGGTATTTGAAACTGTCAAATATTACCGATCTGGCCCAGCAGTCAGCAAACACTTTCTTGAAGGGTTTTATAGTAAAAATTTTAGGCTTTGGGATCATTAGGTCTCTATATTTACTACTCATCTTTGGCATCTTACCATAAATGCAGCCACAGAAAATATGTAATGAACAGATGTGGCTGTGAACCAATAATATTTATAAAAACAGGTGTCTGAGCAACTGGCAGCAGTTTGTCAATCCCTGACCTAGTTAATCTCATTCACCTATACTAAAGAACAATAAATCATACTGTTTTTTTCTTGTCACTGTAGAGTCCCAATAGGGAACTATGTTGACAAATGCTGTCTAACAGTTTATATGTTATCTAGAAAAAAAATGCAAAGAAACCTTGTAAGAAAACGTATTATCCTACGGATTTCCCAGACAAGTAAAAAAAAACAAAATCTGAAAACCTGATGATCTTCACACACCCAGTAAGTGGCAGAGTCCACTTAGATCTCAAGATAAACGTGAATTCTCTCTCTCTCCTTGTGAGGATACTAGAATGCAAGTATTTTGTTTTGCATTTCTCTTATGCAGACAGACTCTGCTAGTGCTTTTGATGTTTAGCATGCAACTGAAGAAGCAGGTTGATTCCAGCATCTTTGTGACTCATTAGTGAAATTAAGTTATCCTTGAGCAACATAGTTCACTGATGAATGTACAATCTGTTTCCTAATTCTGCCAAGTGGAGCCAGCTGAAAATGTGACAGCTATTATCAACAAGTAACTAATACACTCCAACTAGTATATATATGTATGTATTTATGTATGTATGGCTGCATGTACATTTATTAGAATATATAAATTTGTATTATCAATGTCAAGCAATAGAGCAGACAAAAGAATACAAGGAAGTTTCACTGTATTTCACCTGAATTATGAAACAGTCTGCAGAACATTGTTAAGCATGTGATCAATATGCTGCCATTAATGTTTTTTAATACATCAAAATATAAAAAGTATCTACTTTTTATTTTTAACTGAAATATACTTTATATACAATATTACATTGGTTTCAGAGGAACAACTTAGTGATTCATGAATTTTATACATTACTAAATGCTCACTATAATAAGTGTAGTTACTAGTTACCATCTGTCACCACACAAAAATATTACAGTATTATGAGCTATATTCCCTGTGCTATACTTATAGCCCTGTGTCCAAAACATTTTTATAAAGTATATACCTTTTCATCCCCTTCACCTGCTTCAGACCCCCTCAACATGTAATAGTTCATTCTATTTTTGAGTCTATTTGTTTTATGTTTGTTTGTTTTTTCAGATTCCATATATAAGTGAAACCATTATGGTATTCATCTTTCTCTGACTTTTTTCACTTACCATACATAATACCTTCTAGCTCCATACATATTGCCACAAATGCAAGATTCCTTTCCTTTTATGGCTGAATAATATTCCATTGTATATATATATATACACACCGAATCTTCTTTATCCATTCATCTATTGATGGACACTTCAGTTCCTTCCTTATTTTTGCTACCGTAAATAAT